GTTGATTTTGTTTAAAGTTTTTATGTGTTTGGAGCATAGCTAATTTTGATTAGGAGTTGAAGTTTTGGCTCAGCTACTGAGCTTATCTAGAAAACTTTGTTAAAAAAAATAAAACCTTGTTATTGACTCCTCGGTAGCAGTGTATTTTTCTTATTGTGATTAGAGGCTATTTCTTGCACAAATTTAAAAATGTTAGAGGTTGTTTAGGCCTAAAACATAGTAACGTACTTTTGCAAATAATTTATGGAGCATAATACACAAATAAAATGTATAAATTTATTTATACAAATTAAATTATGATATTTTGTATAACTCAGTTAGGTAAATCTTATAAATGATATTATTACAATTATCCTTTTTAGTTTCTTAGTCCACCTAATCTCTCAAATCTGACAGATGTTCTATTCTTTCATTGTAAGTATATAGATATATATATTTTAGTTTCTTCATGTATGTATAATAGCTTTTACTTTATATATTTTGATGTCATTGTTCATCATGTTAAGATTGACTATTGTTATAATATCGTTAATGTGGATTGCAATATTTAACTAATTTTTAATTCATTTTGTTGTTTGTTGTCTAATTTCATAGGTGACTGTTTCCTTAAAAAATCAATATTTCTTATTGAATGATTAAAAATATATAGCTAAAATTTTCTCTAAAATGGCTTTGCCTTTATCCCATAAAGTTTGATAGATATGCACAAATTTTCATTGAGTTCTAAAGAGTCTGTACTTTTAGCTGTTTTTTCAGAAGAAATTCTTTTCTATTTCTAAAAGATTAGATTTATATATTAATATTTAATTCCTCATTCTTGGAACTGTAATAAGAGAATATGGTCCATCTGCTTTCTTGAATATAATGGGATTTTGCCATAGGTCTTTGTATGTAGACAATTTATAAAAAATATCCCATGAACACTTGAAAATCATGTGTATTCTATATTAGTTGGTTTTAGAGTTATCACTATAATAATCAATTAAATCAGACTTTTATGATTAACTAAATCTTGCATATCCTACTTAATTTGATCATTTCTGAACAGTACTATAAAATATTTCTTTTTTTTTTTTAAGATTTTATTGGGAAATTGGGGGGAGGGGAACAGTGTTAGGGAATTGGGGAAGGGGTCCGGCCAAGTTGTTGTTCTTCAACCTTCATTGTGGAGGGCGCCAGTCACGATCTGGTTTCCTGTTGGCAGCTCGTGGCCTCTAAGCTCAAGGTGCTGTGTTCAATGTTAGTTGAGGGTGGGCGTAGCCACCATCCCATGCAGGAGTTGAACCAGCAGCCTTGTTGTTAAGAGCACACACTCTATCCACCGAGCCATCAGGGCGGCAGCTCAGCTCAAGTTGCTGAGTTCAGTCTTAGTTGTGGGGTGGGTGTAGCCCACCATCGAATAGGCAATATTGTTGTTACACCAGCTGAGCCAGCTGAGCCATCCTGCCACCTGTTGGCAGCTCAGCGACAGCTCAGCTCAGGTGCAGTGTCACTGACCCATGTGGGAATCGAACTGGTGGCCCTGTTGCTCAGAGCTTGCACTCTTTTTTTTTTTTTTTTTTTTTTAAGCTGAGCCATCCTGCTACCTGTTGGCAGCTCAGCGGCTGCTCAGCTCGGGCTGGACTCGAACCGCTGTTGCTCAGAGCTCAAACTCTTGAGCGAGCTCTTAACCAACTGAGCCACTCGGCCGGCCCTAGAGCTTGCACTCTTAAGCCAACTCTTAATGAGCTGAGCCACTAGGCCGGCCCATAAAATATTTCTTTATGATTAAAGCCCTATCAGTCCCTCCCGTGAGTCCATTTTTTTTAGAGCAGAAAGCATAGTTTTAAACAGATATCAATCTTTATATGGCTTGTTATCATGTATAGAATAAAGTATAAACTTGTTGCTATTACCTTACTCAGTATTCTTTTAGTCTATAGAACACACTGAGTTGCTTCTTTCTTCAGAGCCCTTGCACGATAGTCCCATTTTCTGGAATAGTTCCATCTCCTTATCTCCCAACCATCACACCTTATTTTTGGCATCATTGCTTGTCTGTCTCCTTCTCATCCTACAGTTTCAAGTACTACTTAAATGTTTCTTTCCCATATAAGGCCTCTCAGAGCTAAAATCAGTTCTTCCTTGAGTAAGAACAATTTTCAAAATGAAATTCTTTATTTGTTTTTTCACTAGCTATTGGCCTCAGCTGCTCTGAACATAGAGGTTCCTCTGTGACTTTTGGGAATATATGTCTGCCAAAACAGTGAGAACCTCTCAGAGTTGTCCTTTCTTTTTTTATCTTTAAATTTCAGTACTTTGAGCCAATGTGCTCCTTTGCAATTGTAATCATATCTGCGTCATGTCGTCTAGAAAATGTTAATATTTACTGCTTCTTTGATAGCCTACTTCATAGTTTTACAGTGCTGCTAGACAATCATAATTTTGTATTTTTCCCCTTTCATTTTAGTAAAAGGTAAGGAGGTAACAGGTAAATAAACATGTGAGCAGAATTTGTTATATTGAAATTCAAATTTTAAAAGCTATAAAAACCCTTAAGGAAAGGGTATTGAATGATATATGGGCAAATGTTTTTCAGCCTATTTTTAGTAAATACATCTAAATTTGATACACTTGTATTATATATTATATTAATTTGTTTCATATTAATTAGCATTCTTGTTTATTTGGAATGCATTTACTTGTTAATAGGAGATCATACTTCTTATATACTTTATACTTCTATTTCCTTGGCCCTTAAAGATATGAAACGATGTTCAAATGTATTCATAGTAAGAGAAATGCCAATTAAAATTAGACTGAGTTATTATTTCTCCTCTATCAGGTTGGCAAAAATCCCAAAGTTTGACAACTGTTGGCAAGGCTATGAGGAAATAGGAACTCACATTTTGCTCATGGTAATACAAAATGACACAACCCCCATGGAAGAAAATTTGTCAATATCTAACAAAACTACATGAGCATTTACCCTTTGACCCAGAAAGCTCATTTCTAGGCATCTATCCCAAAGATACTCTGGAAAAATATGAAAAGACATATGCACAAAGCTATTTACTAGAGCATGATTTATAGTAGCAAAAACTGGAAAGAACCCAAATGCTCATCAATAGGTGTCTGATCACATATGAACTGTTATACATTCATACAATGGAAATACGTAGCTATAAAAAGAAATGAATATTTTTTATATACACATATGGAGTAATTCCCAGTATTATTTTTAAGTGAAAAAGAAAAGCAAGAGAAAACTATGTATGGTTTTCTATAGGACAAAAAGGAGGAGCAAAAAAGGACATAGATTTTGAAGATAAAAAATGTGCATAATTTGTTTTATAGATTTGTATTTGTAATCATGGACATATTTTACATAAATATAAAAATCAAATCAGGGCTGGCCGAGTGACGCATTGGTTAAGAGCTGGCTTGGGACACCAGAGGGCCCCGGTTCGGATCCCACATATGAGGGCCAGTGACACTGCCCTCTACAGCTAAGATGCTGAATAACAGCTCAACCTGGAGCTGGGTTGCTGTGAGTTGCCGGTGACAGCATAGGCTGCAGCCCCTGCTGCAGTGGGTTGCCATGGACTACTGTGTGTAGCCAGCAGCCAGCATGAGTGGCCCTCAAGCCACCATGAGCGGCCTTCCAGAAGCCGGCAACTGATCTGCCTCACCCAGGAAGAGCGTAATGATGATGCCAACTTGGGCCAGTGAAGCAACATCCTCCACAACTAGACTGAAGAACAAAAAGACAACAACTTGTCTGTTCCCCTTCCCCCAATTCCCCAATAAAAATCTTTAAAAAAAAAAGGACTTAAAAAAAAATCAAATCAAAATGAAAAAATGCAAAAAGTTAAAAACAAAATTAAAATGAAACAAATGAATCTAGCACTGTATTGAATTGGTGGCATAATGACACAAAGAAAGAATTAATGCAAGAGGCTTTAACATATAGTAAATTGAGGAACTTTCTTAGTGTTTTATATCCGAAAGACCAAAATGACAGAAAAATATTAAATTGTTTTGAGTAATCTAGGTCCTGTTTGTCTGTTACTGTTACAAGCAAATAAGTACATTAATGTCATCAGGAACTAAAAGTTTTGGTATAAGAGGGAAGAGATGTGGATATAAGATTAAGAAAATTAAAACTCTGTAACTCTAAATTTAAGTTAGAAATATCAAAACCATGGCATAATGTATTTTATCCTAAAACAAACCAAAAAACCAAGTAAACTAACATATTTCCTAGATTTGTTTACTGAAATGCCTAGAAGCAATGACTAACCCAATAATAATGAGCATTCACAATGCCCAAAGTGTGGCCACTAAGAACCAAGTCCCAGTGAACAAACCAAGGCTCCTTATACAAATGACTGAATCGAGGTCTGAGTCAGGAAAAATACAAGATAAGCATGGAATACTGTGTCATAACAGAAAGCAAGGGAGTTATATAAAACAGAACTTAAGAACCAACTTGAAGAAGTTCTTATTGGCCAAAGACAATTCAGAAATAAGCACAATTACACTGATACCTTTACGTAAAGACATTGTAAGAGAGACTAATATCATTGTAAGCATGGGGAGTTATCTATAGGAAGTTATATTATGCAGAATTTCCCCAAATTCCACTATGGGACCCATTTTGAAACCTAGAATATTTTTACCATTCCATAAAGTCATTGTTTTCCAACAGGACAATATTGTTTGGGGCCATTTCTAGATTTTTAGCCATTATTAATGCTCATTGCCAGCCAAATCTGCCATTTTCCCCCTCATTATTCAGTTTTTAATTTTGATTTATCTTTTGGCAACCTGGGGTACATTTTCAAAAAAAGTGTTTTTTTGTGTGTGTGGAAAAAGTACAAAATGGTATATTTTCTGATACATTGCTCATCTTAAAATGGCATTCACATAATAACAACAGCTTGATTGGGTATAAAATCCTTAAATCATAACTGTCCTCTCAAAGCACTATAAATGTTCATTTTCTTCTGGCGTTCTGAGACCAATTTAGCTGTGTTCTTTTTCAGTGTGAGATTTATACTTAAGAATCAAGCATTTCATCAGAATATGTCTAGGTAAGTATCTCTTTCACTTATTTTTCCCCAGTCATGGTAAGCCCCTCAATTTCTAGATTCAAAATGTTTTTAGGTGAGAATGCTTGTTTCAACTGCATCTTTATTACTTAACTCTGTTTCAATTTGCTTTTATCCTTATAATTTATAGTTTGCATATTTGTTATTTTATAATTATTTACTTCCTCTCGTGATTTACACTGCTTTATCTTTTCCTTCAACATAAAAAGACTACTTTTCACATCTGTTCTGTACACTGACTCATATTTTCTGCAGCTTCAAGTAGGCTCTTGATGTGTCTGAGATTTGGCTACTGCAGTTTTACTTGGGAGCAATTTCTTCTTATAATTTTTTCCTTGTCATCTCAATGTTTGTTTATTACTTAATCTCTTCTCATCTATAATTTATCCCATCATGGCAGGCTCTTCCTGTGGAGAGATAATGTTCTCTAACATTCTAGGACATTCCTTCCCTTCTTTTGTGTTACATTTTAAGCCTTGTATTTGTTGTTTTCTGGTTCACTGTTGAATTAAATACATGTCTTGCCCCCTGTTATGGAATGTTGAGAATGGGTGAATTTTTCCTAAGTTTCCTTTTAGTCCATTACAGGTCAAATCCTTACTTTCTTTTTTACTTTCTAACATATTGATCAAAGGCTGATTGCTACAGAATTTAAGCAGTGCTAAAGGACTGCCAAAGTAGTAGCTGGGGGAAAGCAAACAAAACAAAATGAACTTGAAGTTGTGAAACCAACAGAACAAAGAGTTATTGTAATTCTATGCATTCAGGTTTTTTTTCTTTATTTTATTTATTATTATTTTTTTGGAAGGGGAGGATAAGGTAGCTGGGCATCCCATTCCTTATCTTATTTTTGCCATCAACTCTATTTCAACTTTCTGTTTTCCTGAAGTGAAAATGGAATTTTTTTCATTGTCCTCACAGCTCAATTTATCATCTTTGAAGAAGAGGAAGCAACTTTTGGAGTAAATGAGGAAATCTTTTATCTTTTATGATGAGTAGAAGACCACATCACTGAGTGTGCTCCATTCCTAAGGCTTTTCCTGTCACAGGGGATATTTTCTCTTTGAAAGGGATGGAAACATCTTCCTGGAACTGATGGCCACTTACAGGCCACTTCTAACACCACTTCATTCCAGGAAATGAATCCCTGGCAGTTATACTGATCTATTTGGTGCTTGGAAAAGGGATTCCCCTTCTTTATTCTCTGTAAAAACAGTAGTTGGGTACCAAGGAGGTGTGTGGGAGAGGCATTTAGATTGGTTAACTCCTTGGATTCTTGCAACAACATACTCCTAATAAATTAGAAACTTGATTAATTGTGAGAAATATAATATTACCATCTCAGAAGGCTGTAACGTGTATTGAAGAAGTAAAGACACATTTATTCCAATTTGGAATATGTTCTATTTTTCACAAATGCTATCCTGGTATTTCCCTGTGATATTCAGAAACTTTCAGATGTTCACTTATGATTCAAGTGAATTTTCTATTTTGTATGTATTAAAAATAGTGGGTTAGTGAACATTTATTCTGAATATCCTAAATCCTGATGTTTCTCCTAACTGAAGTATTTCTGTTTGTTTATATAAAGTTAATAATAAAATTTTAGACCTGAAAATCACTGCACAAATATCTAATCATCTCCTTCTTTTATAGATAAATTCCTGAGATTCTGGAAGGATATTTACTTAAGTCCACCAACCCTGGTGGTATGAGTGAATGCTAGAATGTAAGTCAGTCTCCTTTCCCCTATATCAACTGCTTCACTTATCATATTTTAACTGTTTTTAAAAATATTTTTATTTGATTTACTAGAAAGCTTTAGAAGCTGAGATTGAGAAAGGAAAATAATATTTTTTCCTTCTAAAGTTTATTAAATTAGAACTGAATATTAAAATAACATGCACATAAGTTGTTGGCTTAGCCCTTTGATGTGTTAGAACAACACAAACACTATGAGATTACCATTTATATCAGAAGGATCAAGGATATATTTATCTAGGATGAATATATGGTTCCTGGATTCTAAAAATAGATACCTAATAAATTTCTCTCAAATGCAACATTTTCACAAGGCTACCTCCTGCTGATTACACACATGCTGATCCTTCTCCCTAGACCTCCATTATTATCTGGTTGACCACTAAATCATTCCATGGGCCTAAGTAAAAACTTAGTTGAATGATTTTTTCTGGTCATTCTTTTTATTACTGTTGGTACACATTTAATATTTCCATAATTTCTTGAAAGATAGGTTTTCTTCCTTGAAAACATCCCCATAAACTAGTAATTTTGTCTTAAAAATAATTCCACTGCATTGATAACATTATTCTTGTTTTATTATTTTGCTTTTGTTTTTCAGTCTCAAGAAGTATTCAACTTTGATTGTTTTGCCTTATTTTCTCTGAAAATCTTTTGTACATTTACTCTCTATAATTATTTGATTAGATAATGGAAGAAGCAACTTACAGAATCCCATGGGAGTGTCACTGTGAAAGAACTATAGACAATTATATTTAGAAGAGAAAATTTTAACTTTAGAACTGGACATATGCCAAGTAAACTAAACCAGAAGGCAGTCCTTAGAGCAGTGGTTCTCAACCTGTGGGTCGTGACCCCTTTGGGGGTCAAATGACCCTTTCACAGGGGTCGCCTAAGATCATCGGAAAACAAAAAGATATTTACATTACGATTCATAACAGTAGCAAAATTAGTTATAGAGTAGCAATGAAAATAATTTTATGGTTGGGGGTCACCACAACATGAGGAACTGTATTAAGGGGTCGCCACATTAGGAAGGTTGAGAACCACTGCCTTAGAGGGTGCAACCTCTCCTCCATATAATTTATTACCTTCCTACTTACTTCCTTCTTATTTGTGTCTCATTATATTGAACAAATTCTGTAGCTGGTCATATAGAGATCCTAGCTTGCTTGTTGCTTGCTACAAAAGGTACTGAGTCCTTGAACTTACTTTCCTCAGCTGCAACCCAACCCATTGTGTCAGAGCATTCATCTGGTCCATCGTGATGCCCATGAGACTTGAGGGACAAGGGGAACCTGTGGTAGTATGATGATGCACCTTCTGTAATAAACCATCTTATTCTGATACAATTAGTCTTGTTGTCTATTTTTGGCATCTGTGGAGTGGTAACAGGTTTACTCTTTGTCATCCTGTATGAGGCTGAGGTTGTTTTCTGACAGATTTTCAAGCTGCTGAATCTATATCCGTTAGCTCAAAATAACTTCGGAATAGTTAAAAAGGAGTGAAAAACTGAAAGTATTGGTAAGAATCTAAAATACAACTACAACCTATAATCTATAACTACAGTGCATATGCACTTTACATGAAATGTACTTTACATTAAATTAATCCATTCCTATATCACAGTAGGGGTGCAGCCAGATGAAGGCTGGTGTGGTCACAGTTGTAACAGGGCCTCTATGATGGATCACATCAGCCCAGAGTCTGGATCTATTGATAGCCTTAGAATCTCACCAAATGGATGTTGTCATATACTCAGAGTGGGGGAGTGTCTCATGTGTGAAGTTATGTCTAAACTAGAGACACAGTTCATTAATTATGAGAGATGCACTTTCTAGAGAAGGTAATGCTAGTATCTGCTAAACAGGGAAGACCCTTTCCCCTCATCAAGAAGCCAGTTCAAAGTCAGAAGACTACTCTGTAAGGTTGGAATCAGAGCAAAGGAGGATGGTAGTGCATGAGGTTTGGAAAACCGCTCCATCTTACTTCTCTTGTGCCCTAATTGCTCTGGTTTCTATGCACTGTCGACTGGTCCATTGCCAACTGTGGAATTTCTGGTTCCTGTTTCCTATATTTCTACTGCTTTCTATACACCATTTTTCTTGGATGTATTATTATAACAGATTTAGCTATTTCCTCATTAAAGCATTTTGGGAATGAGGCTGGTCAGATAAATATCTTCAGGTCTCACTCTTAGCGGTGGAGGTCTTCAATCTCTTTAAGATGACTTTGTAAATAGCTGACCTCATCTTTCTGCATTTGTTGCATTGGTGTCATTGTCAGCTTTAGAAATAGTTGAATGTCAAAAAAACTATATACTTATTATTGGGTATGTGCATAATGTATCAACTTAATGTTTTGTGTATGTGTTTACAAACACATAAAAAAAGTTCATTTGTTTACTCAACAAATGTGTACTTTGCACCTACTATGTGCTCAACACTTTTGTACGTGCCAGAAATACAGTGATTAGACAGTTAAGCTTTCCACATTCATGGAACTCACATTCTAGTGACAGTAAACAAGTATAGATATATATATGTATTTGTAGCATAATTTTAGATAGTGATAAGCTTATGAAAAAATAATGAAGCCATGTAAAAACTGAAGAAAGATAGGGGTGGCTGTTTTAGACGGTATCATGATAGTTTAAATAGGTCTTAGAGCACAAAAACTGTATTGGGAATGCCATTAAACAAACAGATGTATTTGCTAATTCTGCTATTTCCAGTTTGATCATAAAAACACTGCAATAACTATAATGTGAATATGTAACATCTGTCAATAAATCTGACATTTTCTCATCTTTGTGATTCAGACATATTAGCATTGATTTGTTGTAAAAAAGAAAATATAAAAAATCTCGTTCAAATGTAGTCAACATATAAATACTTTGAGGACACCGTTAGCAGTAGTGACATTTGAATGTGTGATGAAATGGAGTAGATGCCATAGAAATTCAGATAATGTTGAGAAATTCTCCAACTTCAGTTAGTATATTAGTTCTCTGTTCTTTCATAATCCATAAAAAGCTTGGAGCATACGGTTATGTGTTAAGAATTTTAAAAAATCCTATTTATGTGTACAAGTTCACATAAGATGCATCTTCCTTTGTGTATTATATAATGATGCTAAAATATGAGGTCATTTAAGGATTTTCTAACATGCAAAAAGAAATATATTTGTAGTTTTTACATTAGGATGCAATTATGCTGTAGAAAAGCACTATTGCCTAAATACATCTTGGAAACATGCTTTTGAGAGGGAATGAATAGCACACAAATTCTGATTCCTTTTAAGTTTTCTTGAATAATGGACTACAGACATGAGCTGAGCTTTAATAAAGTGCTAATTAGGAGTGCATGCCACAATTGGAATGGTGGCTGTATGAAATGTACAGAAATCTCAGCAGCATAGGAATGGCATGTGGCTTTTGGGGACAAGTTATGACAGCTAGGTACTGATTCTTTGATGCCATAAATCTAAAACCTCTAATGCTGAGAGAGACTTTGAGATTATCTATTCAAACTCTCAATTGCACGTGAGGGCTTAGCATGGGTGACTTGCTCAACACCGTGTGGCAAACGGGTCACCTGATTAACATTTCTGCTATGTCTCCAGGCACACACCACCTCACCTTTTCTCCCATTTGCTTTTCAGCCATTTTGTTGAACTTCATAGCACAAGGACTTACAAATAAAGTGAAATTCACACGTGTAAAAGTATCCTTTTGTTTGTTAGCTACTCCAGTGAATTTTTTTCCAGAATAAAACAATGACAGTAAAATGAAAATAAGGTTTAGAGATCTCATTTATCCTTTTTTTTATATCCTGCTATAAGACAATTTCAAAATTTATAATGTGATTAAGACAATATCATACCTGGAGGTTGGAGGAGAGGATTGGGGCAGAGTTGGTCAGAAGGGAAGAGAAGGTGAGCGAGGCCCACACAGGACAGCGAGGAGGAAGACCACAGTTCCAGGGTCAGTGATCATCTCCTTGAGACTGCCCTTTTCTGAATTTGAAAAGGAAAATATTAATCACCCTTGGTCTCCCTTTGCTCGTCTCTAGTATGAAGAGAGTTGATTAGTTAATCTCTGAGGTCCTTTGCAGTGTCCCTAGTCAAGGACTGATTATGCATTCAGGCTTTTGGAAGTCTCACCGGAAGACACATATGTAATTCTTGATTAAGCCTCTCTCACTGTTCTCTACATGCAACTAGAAAGCATTGGTAACTATTTTCGAGTTAAGGCCACCCTTGCTGATCAGTTAATAAGTCTGTTAATTTGGAATTATAGTCAACTCTTGATTAATCAGAGTAAGGGGGTATGTGCAGAAAGGAGAGAGCACAGATGGCCACAAATCATGTGTAAAATGAAACTCCAATTTGAAGGATTCGGTACAGCCTGGTGGTTAGAAACCATGCAGGTATTCTTGTGTTCAACCCTAACTCTACAATTACTAGCTATGTGACCCATGGAAAGACCTATAGAGCCTTACATGGTATGGCCCTTGACCATATCTATAACTTAATGTCCTACCTTATTCCCTTATGCTCACATAACTTCAACCACAAAGTCATCCTTGCTCATCTGTGGTCAGGACAAGCATGCTCCAACCTCAGGGCCTTTGCGCATGCTGCCTTGGTTTAGACAGCTATTCCTCCAGATAGATACTTGGAACACTACCCTTCTCTTTCAAATTTTCCTCAAATGTCACCTTTTTAGAGAAACCTGCCTGGCTATGCTAGGAGGAATGATAATGATAGAAACTACACTATCTATATTCTTACTCTGTCCAATGTTTCTTTATAGTCACTAATGATATATTATATATGTTTTTGTTTGGTTGTCTTTTGCCTACTCACATTAGTAAGTAAACTCTTTGATGTAATGCCTGTTTTATTCTTTCTTTTAGTTACCTTATCAATTGGGCCTAAAAACATACCTGGAACATAGTAACTGCTCAGTATTCATTTGTTGAATAGATGCATGCTGATACCCAATAAAAGAGCCAGTAACAGAAATTGTTACATGATGTACCTCTGGGGAGAAAGACAGGCGATGAAAGAGGTGGACAGGACCCTCGTCTTGCATCTGATGCAATTGTTTTACGCTGTGTGCATTACATTTGTTATACATTATTTTAGCGATTGTGGCTGGTTCCTGATCCACCCTATGCACATTTAGTCTACATTTAATTTTATTTCTTCCACTTCAGTCTTCTTTGCTGATCATATATGAAAATGAGCCAGTAGAAAGGAGACGGCATCTATCCACTCTGCATCCGTGCAAGAGTTCACAGTTCTAAAACCTGAACACCATGAATGCTCACTAATGAATGACCATAGATAGGAACCTAGGAAAACACTTTTCTATGAATTAATGGAAATGACACAAATTTTAAAAATGTGGCGAATGTGAATGTGACTGCAAATACAAGTAGATACAATCAATTTAAGTGAACGCTCAAGACCATTCATGTGGCCACAATTCCTCAAGCCCCACTAACTTAAAATATTTTCTGTATCTGGTTGGCTTTACTGATGTCTCTCTGGCAGCTTGCCTCAGCATGGAAGAACTGCGGTAGGAGAAAGGACCCATGGCGTGGTGGGCAACAAGGGAGATGAAGGTTTGCATGTAACACGGGACAAATGAAGTTTTTCCTGATTGGTACCCCAAGCAGGTGTTTTGTCTTTCCAGATGAAGTAATTGCAGCATGTAAAAAATAGATAGATTTGTGGTTTTCTTGGTTGTGTGATATGATAGAAACAAAATATAGACAACTAACAGGATATCTTTAAATGAGGAAACAGAAGCATTTAGATCAGTGATAAAGTAAAATAAACCTTTGCTTTTCCCACCCCCTGCCACACACCTTACACACATACACACACACACACACTCCTAACTCACACACACTCATCTTATTCTCTCTCCCACACACCCATGCACACATACATGCAAACACACCCAATTCCTCACCCCAGGACTCAGATGATCAATGCCTTGGCTCAGCCTTGTTCCTGCTGAAGCCACACGTGAGTTCTAACAAACCCCCCTCTAAAGCTGACTCCTATCACATGCTCTTCAGGACAGGATGAACACATCCACCGAAAATCATGTTTTCTTTGCATCCTAACTGAAACAGCATTACAGGGGGAAATGGGAATTCAGCGCTGCCAGCTACAGTATCTCTCCTATCAGTTCACCAATAAGGCCTGGTAGGGACCTGCCGAGCCTCTGGATAAATTGTATTTTCCAAGGGTTAATTAAGCTGTCTTGAGCTTCTGCATGAAGAGGAACAAACTGGCACTT